CCCCGCAGCCCAAGGTCCAGTGGTGGATTGGACCCAACGAGGTTATTCCCGACGACCGCATCCAGTTCCACATGGATACCAGCAGTTCCTCCACTGTCTTCATCAACAAGAGTGCCAAGCGCTCAGACATTGGCAAATACACTATCAAGCTCACAAACACTGAAGGTGCAGATTCCGGCTCCTGCAAGGTCAATGTTGTGGACAGACCAACTCCACCTCAGGGTCCTCTGGAAGTGTCAGACATCACACCTGAGACTTGTTCTCTGGCCTGGCGTCCTTCCCTGGACGATGGAGGTTCACCTGTTACAAACTACCAGGTGGAACGCCTCGAACCCCACGTGGGCATCTGGGTCAAGGTATCTGCATTCGTACGTTCCTGCCACTACGACGTCATGGGACTTGAGCCTAACAAGACCTATATGTTCCGCGTCCGTGCCGAGAACCAGTATGGCCTCTCAGACCCTCTGGCAACACTGGATCCCATCACAGCCAAATTCCCATTTACTGTGCCCGATCCTCCAGGTCGCCCCAACATCTTGGATCACGACATCAATTCGGTGATCCTTACTTGGGACCGTCCAGCTTCCGATGGTGGCTCAAAGATTCAGGGTTACAAGGTGGAATACCGGGATGTCACCGATACCAACTGGGCGGCTGCCAACGACTTCCTGGTTAAAGAAACCACCTACACTGTCCACTCTCTCCTGATTAACCACGAATACGAATTCCGTGTGAAGGCTAAGAATGCTGCTGGCTATAGCAAGTATTCACCACCAAGCAAAAAGATCAAGATGAAGGGTAAATATGCAGTACCATCTCCTCCTGGTACTCCTGTTGTCACTAAGATTGGAAAGAACTATGTCGACCTTAAATGGACTGTTCCAGAAAGTGATGGCGGTTCACGCATCACTGGCTACATGGTGGAGAAGCGTGAGATTGGCAGTATCTGGATGAAGTGCAACGACTACAATGTTGTAGATACCCAGTACACTGTTCTTAATCTCACTGAAGGCTCTGATGTTGAATTCCGTGTATATGCCATCAATGCTGCCGGCAAATCTGACCCATCAGAGAGTGCTCAGCCTGTGAAGATCCGAGAAGCAGCTCCAGGAGAGAAGCCATTCTTCATCAAGAACTTGCAGAATACTGCAGTAGCGTTGCACAAATCGGTCACCCTGGAGTGTGAAGCTGAGGGTAAACCAACTCCCACTGCCCGCTGGTTGAGGAATGGCCGCGAAGTGACACTTGGTGGTCGTATCACCTCAGAAGAGCGTGATGGCAAATTCAAGTTAATTATCTCAGACATGTGGGAGGTAGATGAAGGTGACTACGCTTGTGTGGCGGCAAACGACGCTGGTCAAGCCACCTCTATCGCCCACGTTAAGATTGGCAACCCACCACGTATCACACAGATGCAAGATGCCCTGTACCTGCCCGAAGGTGACAATACTAAAATCAAGATATATTTCACTGGTGACCTGCCTCTTGATGTTACACTCACCCAGAATGGTCTGCCCGTGGAGGAATCTCAGCGTCTTAAATTCACTGTCTTTGACGAATTTATAATCATCTTTATTAAGGAAGTGGTAAAGCAGGACGCTGGTCAGTACACTCTTAACGTCAAGAATGACTCTGGCTCTGTCAGTGGTAACTTTATTGTATACATCACAGGTGTACCAGGAGCTCCAACTGCTCCTCTAGACGTTACCGACATTAGTCGTCACATGTGTAACCTAGCCTGGCGTCCACCAGTCTACGATGGTGGAATGCCTGTTACACATTACGTGGTTGAACGCAAGGACATTACTTATGCTAACTGGATTACGATCAACTCCTTCTGCAAGGACTGTGCCTTTACAGTTCAGGGCCTCACTGAGGGACAAGAATACCTGTTCCGTGTGATGGCAGTCAATGAAAACGGCATGGGACCTCCTCTTACTGGTGTAAACCCCATCAAAGCCAAGGCTCCTTACGATCCTCCATCCCCACCAGGTACCCCCAACGTCACAGAAGTGGGTGGCGACTTTGTTCACCTGGAATGGGACAAGCCTGCCCATGATGGTGGTTCTCGCATTAAGGGTTACTGGGTTGAAAAGCGTGAAATTGGCTCGAACATCTGGACGATGGTGAACCAGTATATCTGTCTGCCAACTCAGATCAACGTGTCTAATCTCATCGAGGATCGTCAGTATGAGTTTAGAGTATTTGCAGAGAATGACGCTGGCATGTCAGAACCTTCCACATGCTCAACATCTGTCAGGATCAAGGATCCCAACGCAGCTACTCCTCCAGAGATCATCACACCCCTTCGCGGCGTGATGGCCCTCCAGCACAGGAGTGCTACACTCACTTGCCAGATTTCCGGCAAACCCAGGCCCAACATCTCATGGTTCAAGGGTATGCGTGAGCTGTGCAACAGTGCCAAGTATGCTATGACACGCGATGGTGAGACCTACTCTCTGACGGTGCACGACGTGTATGGTGAGGACGAAGATGAGTACATGTGTCGAGCACAGAACTCTGGTGGCATCAGGAGCACCAAGGCCGATATCTCTATTAAGCGTAAGTTGTTTCTCTCTCTATCTCTCTCTCTCTCTCTCTCTCTCTCTCCTCATCTCTCTCCTCTCTCTTTATAATATATAATATATAATATATATATATATATAAAATATATATATAATATATATATAAATATATATATAAATATAATATATATATATATACGTGCCAAATAGGTAAAATTTAGTCAGTTAGCAAGAACTCGTTACAAAATAAGTTTCTTTATAACATTTTTCTATTACTACTTTAAAGATATATTTTTTTTTCATTATGTTAATGTAAAAAATTAACAATTTTGTACCAAAAGAACCTAGAAAACTTATCTAACCTTTTGTTTTATAACAAGCGCAATTTAATTTAGCTTAATCCAACTAAAAATATTTTAGATAAGTTTACAATATTTTACTAATAAAACAAACACAATGAAATACATTTTTTCCTATATATACAAGAATTATTGTTTGCAGTATTTTTGCATACACAGAAATTTTTTGTCTTCCTTATTCGGTCAAAAAGAGCGTTTGCAGTTTAAAACCAAAATCGCAAGTTTTTACCTATTCGGCACGACATAGAATACGTTACGACCAAAGGCAACTGAAAATTGACAACGTTTCAGCTAGTTTTATGAAGGAAAACCAAACCATTAAACTTATTTTCCCTTAACAAAACGATGCCAATACAAAAAAAAATTAATTTTAGTCTTCTAAAACACTTAAAGAATTGATAAATATTATAACTAAATTGAGCTGCTTCGAGTAATAGACAATCCGACGTATGAAATCCAATAAAAAGGCATAAGGGGTAAACAGATTGTAAAACAAAACGACAGGCCCTTTATTACAACGAGATGTAAACAAAACGACAGCCTAATTACAACGAGCATGTAAACAAAAACTACGAGCCTATTTACATCGGATGTAAACAAAACGACAGCCTTTAATACAACGAGATGTAAACAAAACGACAGCTTATAATGACAACGAGATGAAAACAAAACGCCCGCCTTCATTACAAACGATATGTAACAAAACGACAGCCTCATTACAAACGACTTTTAAGTTTTAATGTAAAGTATTATCACACAAGAACGTTGTTTCAATGAATTTTTTTCTTCAGTGCCTTATACTTCTCGTTATTTTCATCCAATGACCAATTAAGCCATAAAACATTAAAACAAGACAGACTGCTCTAATGACTGAGTAAAACCCTGGAGACGGACTCTATAATTCCAAGGCTCCTGGGGCTGCTCTACCTTCCGTGACCATACCATCAATGCATCTCATTACCCCAGAGTAGCAATTCGCCTCTCATTCCCCGAGTTATAACTCTCAGCTTGCCGATCATCGCAGCTGGGCCGCGTCAATGCTACAACATTTACAGTTCAGCAGCCCTTGTTCAGTCCTATTACGCTCTTCAATCTTATTTGTCACAATGATAAGTTCTTCCACAGCTGTGAAATCCGCCCTTGTTCACGCCGTTTTTCCGCAAAACCAGGGGAGGGAAAAGGAAGCACTACGTGACATGAAACCTCCCACTATCGCCCATTGCTCTTACAGTGCAGTTTGCTAAAGGTGATGGAAACGCCTATTAAATAGACGTTTTAGTGTGGTATTTTAGAGACACACAACAGTCCTCATCCAGCACTCGCAAAAATGGCTTTCGTATAGGACGTTCTACCATAGACTCCCTTACACTACGCTATGATACGTATGATCGTAATGCTTTTGCGAAATAACCACTCATGTTATTCCCATATCATTTTTTGACCTTGAGAAGCATATGAACACAACTTAGAGTATAATAATTTTAGCCCAAGCCCCACTCCTTAGGCCTTCGAGCAACTACTACCATCCTTCATAAGAACTTTTTAAACTGACAGTCATTTCGTGTTCGGGTTAATAATGTGCTCTCCCGGACTTTATCCAAGCTAAGGTGTCCCCCAGGGATGTGTTCTGAGGGCATCAACACTTTTTCCTCCTTGTATTCAATGCGATTTGGCCTCTAGTCTTCCATCAAAATATTTGGTCATCACTCTATTTGATGACTTCGCTATTGCCTGTGCACGCGCTGTCGACTGCGGTCACCTTACATAGATTCCTCTCGCACATGCATTACGACCGGTGTGTTTCCAATTGGCCACCACACTTGGGTTTAAATTTTTCCCAGCACTAAAAAACCCACCAAATTACTTTCACTAGACGCTCTGTCATCTCCGATCATCCTTTGTACCTCTTAATGGCTTTCCCGTATCCCTGAACGTGATACAGTCAAGTTTCGGGCACTTCCCTTTTGATCGTAGGTTATCCAGGGAAACCTCACATTACCTCTCTGAAGGCAATTGTCACAGCCAGCTGGAAACTCCTTAAAACCCTTGCTCATCTTTCATCGGGAGCCTGATCGTCGAACCCTCCTGTCGCCTACATTCCACCCTTATCTTATCGAAACTTGAAGATTATGGTGACCAGATCTATTCAGCGACATCCTCCTGCTACTCTCTCTAGCCTTAACCTCCATTCATGCACCAAGGATACGTTTATGGCCTTGGGCATTCGCTCTTTTTCCCACTGTCGAGAGCCTCATATGCATAAGCGATACGTTCCTACCATTATCTAGAGATCACCGTGAAGCCCATTGCCTGCGCTACTATTACGCTCACATGATCTCCGCAATCCTTCCATTTATAAAATGGTCACTGAAATTATAGACATTCTTTATTTGTTCGCCGCTCCTGTTTACGTCCGTCCCTTCTCTCTTCGCCATCATTCACTCTTGTCTTCTCTTCAATTACCACCTTTCATATGTCTAACAAGTTAGACATCTCACTTTTTTTCCTACCCCCCCCTGGAGAAGTTCCAGCTGTTCGAGTCTGGTTCTTTCTCTCCACTTCCCTTGCTCGAAAGCCCCACAGTCTACGGTCGCTTCCCGCTCCTCATTTTCTTGACCACTTACACTCTCATTCTCATTCCATTGCTGTGTACACAGATGTCTCAAAGTCCTATCTTACGGAGCGTAGGAATCGAAGCATTGTTTCTCCGGATCAGCGTCGTAACAAGGGCATTTACTATCTTCGCTAGTATATTTACTGCGACTTGTTTGCCATCTTACCGCACTTATCCGTATTGCATCTATGCCTGTGTCCATCATTGTGTGTTGTCTCAGACTCCCGTAGTGCTTACAGGCTATACAAAATTTGATACACCTCACCACCTTAGTTCCTTCCGTATCCAACTTTGGCTACTCCGCATCTTTACCAAGCATAAAGATATTGTGTTTTTGTTGTGTCCCTGGTGCAAGTTGACGTACAGGCCAATAGAAACAGGCAGACACTGCTTGTGCGAGGTCAGCAGTACTTACCTACCATTTTATCATGTAGGAGGTATTCCATTTACGACTATTTTGCTGAGCAGAATATCTTCCCAACTTCACACCCTTTGGCACAACGTTGTCTACTAATGCTCGGCAACAAACTTCAATCAATTCAAACCGCAGTAAGGTTACTGGCCGTCTTCTTATCACCAGTGTCCGGTTGGTAGACTACTCTCTCCCGTCTTCGCCTTGGCCATACTCGTCCTTACTCAGGATATCTCATGGACGAGGCGCCCTGCTCCTCTCTGATGAGAATTGCCAAGTTCCATTATCAGTCAGCCACATTCTGTTGGACTGCCCACTTTATCAACGAGCACGCAGAATTTACCTCCCGTCGCCGGGGGGTAGGCCTCCGCTGCTCTCACTCTTTACCATTCCCTCTCGCTGATGGACCCACTTTCATCAGACTCTCTCATTGACTTTTTGTGACACAACTGACCTTACTTCACAAATTCTGATACCTTCAGCCCTTTCTACTTCAATCTCTTGCTACCCTCTACCCCCGTACTATCCCCTGCCCCGCTGTTTTCTGTAACCAGCTGATCATCCCTCCTCCCTTCTGCCATCCAATACCCTCGCTTCCTTCCCTACCCTGCAGCGCTGTATCGCCCTTGTGGCTTAGCGCTTCTTTTTGATTATAATAATAATAATAATAATCCCCAGAGTTATCATTATGGGTTTAGTAATAGTAAATATAATAATAATCCTTTAAGAAATGAATAGGAAATACATTATAAATCACACAGACTTTCTTATAACTACATATTCTTCCTCCTTGGTCGAAATAAATGGTATAAAATATCGACACAATGTGATCCTTTATTGACAACGTTTCGCCCACATAGTGAGCTTTAACAAGTTCACAAACAATATACTAATAAATACTCACGTGCCTTTCACCCAGGTAATTAGTTTTTATGTTGTTTGAGGTTATGGGTTTAATTATTTGTGTGGTACTTGTTTTGGACTGGATACACCTCACTGTGTAGGCGAAACGAGTCAATAAAGGATCCCATTATAATAATTAAGTAGATAATATGGATCCTTAATTGACAACGTGATTCTTTATTGGTGTTGGCGAGTAGCATGTTGAAATAATTGATTCCCATATACACTTTGAGAGTGCTCAGCTAGTTAGTATTCTTGGAACAAGTTGCATATAACTAAAGACTGCCAGAACTATTGTGCTTGATTCTTAAGCGGCCATGTTGCAAACACAAGGACAATATTATGAGTTATAATTAACACTGGTGAGATACTTAGTTACATATAAATGATTTCTAGCTTCAAACAGAGATATAAAGTAAACGATGTACACATTGAAGTGAAGACGTGCTGTAGGTGGTATTAAACGACATCAGGATTAGTAGTAGGTTAGGGTTAGAGGTTTTAGGTTGAGGTAAGATGTGTCAGGAAACAGTATCAAGTGTTTTCCTGTCATCAGGCTTAGTCTTAATGATCTGGCCACAGGAGCTTTTGGGTCATCTGATCTAGCTTCCGGCTGGCTTACCCGTCCACCCCTTTAAAACATATGTTATGACAATATAACCTTACCGGTAGATTTCCTTACAAACA